AATAATGCATGTAGTTGCACAGATTATAGCTTTAAGTTTGGCAATCTGCACACGTGTTCATTTTAAATTGGCACACCATCTTTTTTAAGTTGCACAGTTTTACTAATCTTGTTGCACAGATGTGTTGCATCAGTTGGTAGGAACTTTTTTTAGGTGCCATGTGTGTTGCACAGTTTTTGTGTCTTTGTTCAGTTGCATATATGTATAGTTGAATTTGTCTACCCCAGTATCTTTGTTTGTAGTTGCACAGGTTGTAATGTGTGGTTTCATTCAACACACAAATCTATTTTTGATAACCTTGTTATTTTCTGTTTCTCTTTTTTTTTACATCAGCTTAAAGAGGAGTATAGAGGCACGGAGCAGACACCACTGTTTGGTGGAATTTTGCAAGCTGAAGCATTTGTGGCATCCAAGTTACCAATAACATACAATCCGCAGGTTAGTGTTTTGCATACATAAACTTGCATCACTTACCAATATTTTTTCTATTGGCTGGGATGTATGTTCAGTTGGACATGTATAACTTTTGTAGTTGCAAAAATTCAGAATTTAGTTGGCTGCGATGTATGTTCAGTTGCACATATAAGCTTTTGTAGTTGCACATGTTCTTTTGGATAGTCAAAGTGTTCATTTACAACCATTGTCATCAACTTTTGGCAGAAATGCATGGTTTTTACTTTGTGCCACAGTGCATGTGTAGTTGGCTAAAATCATGTTTTTTAGTTGGCCAGAAAGTGTGTATTAGTCGTTTTTGCTTATCACATCATGGTCAGTTACAGACATTTTTACTTTTTATTATTTTTTCTAACTGAATCAGTACTGAATCTTTTTTGTGTTGATGCAGAAAAAGGCAAAAATTGCGAAAGTGGTCAATGAGCTATGCAAGGCTGTAACTGAACAGGTTGGCACCTTCATTGAAGAAGTTGCCAAGATTGATGACGAGGAACCAGATATTGATCCTTACGTACAGCAGCCATCAATGCAAACTGGGGCATCACGCCGTGCTCCAAAAAGAAAGAGACGGCCGTCAACCATACAAGAAGAAGAAGAATTTGTTGAGGATGATTCAGAAGAAGATGAGGAAATGGGAGCAGCGATAGATGCTGACGACGATGAGGAGACAAATGCGGATGAATCAGAGGAGGAGGACAAGGATGAGGATGACAATGAAGAAGATGCAGAGGAGGAGGAGGATGAGGAGGAAGAGGAGGAGGAGGAGGAGGAGGAGGAGGACAAACAAGAAGAGGACAAAGGAGAGGAGGAGAACAAGGAAGAAGATAGTGATGCAGAGGAGGAGGAAGAAGAAGGTGAGGCCAGAGAGGGGGACGGGGACAAAGGGGCAGCAGTTGATGGCAGTGAGAGGGGAGAAGACAAAGGCGCAGCAGCTGATGGCAGTGAGAGGGAAGAAGACGAGGATGAAGAAGACGACGATGATTATGGTGATGATAAAGGGGGATCCAATGGAGGCAGCGACAGCAGCGATGACGATGATGATGACAACGCTCCTGGTTCTGGTGGTACAGGTGGCAACACATCCAGGAGGACTAGCACTCACGCCACCCCTGCGAGCAGCAGCAATTCATTGAGTAGCAGGAGCACACTACAGTTGTTGATTGACAAGACTTGCTGGAAAGACAAGGATTTGCCAAAGTCAAAGAAAAATGACGAAGCAGAGTCTCAGGGAAGCATTGATATGTTCAAGCTCTGCAACTTGAAGCCAGCTTTGCCAACCACCTTTCCCGTGCCAGATTTCAGCGACAAAGATATGTGTGAGAAGATCAACTTTGCCATTGACAAGAGCCTGTTCTTATCAACTGAAGCTGAAAAGAATCAAATTGACATGGAGGAAGCAGGAAATGGTCTTGACTGGGTTCATTCAAAGGAAAAATACAAGGAATATTTAAAGCAGCTCCCAGACCTAAGCTCCAGCAAGAGCAAGGCAGCATCCATGGCAAAGCCTCACGTGGTCCAGAAGTGTAAAGCAGTTTCAATGAAGAAGAATCTGCAGTTGCCTCAAACCAAGGAGAAGATGGTGAGTGAAGATGCTGAAGTAAATATGGTCAAGGAAGCTGTGCTTCAAACTGATATGCCAACAGTAGTGAGCAGAGAGCCAACCAATGTCAGAGAAGTTCAACAGATCAAGGGGAAGACTCCCCTTTCAACAGTCCCACCAAACCCACCTAAGCAGAAGATTGTCAAGTTTGCCAGGGGCGCAAAGGGGGAATAGGCCACAAAAGATTTGGGGTTCAGAGACGAGAGAGAGCTGCGAGCCGCAGCCATTGATGCAGGGGTGCCAAGTTCTGCCAGGTTGCTGCCAACTCAGACTGGAAAGATGCCAACTACAGATACCAGTGTGCCAACTGATGTGTCAGTTAGCAGTATGGTCACAGTCAAAACCACCACAGCTGGTCAGGAAGGCACCACTGCAACTGCAAGTCCCAAGGTGCCTACTGATAGAGATGCTTCAATGCCAAACACAAAAGGAGGTGATCCAACTATCAAAGTGCCGTCCCCAAGAGTTGTCTTTCAGCAACCATTAACACAAGAGGAGGTGTTCGACATTATAAGTAGGTGCAAGCCTCCAAGGCCGCCAACTACAACACTATTGCGAACCAAGTCAGTGAATGATGCACCCATGTTTGTGCCGCAAGGAGATGCCCTGGTCCTTGAACCCTTACGAAGATCAAACTCTTATCATGGTGACGGGTTCTGCGATGCACCATCTTTTGACCTCGGCATAGATGGTGATGCTCCAGCACCTGCTCCAGCAGTAGATACAGCGGAAGCCGGTGTGATTAGCATCGATGAGTGTGAGTTAGACCCAACAGCTGTGAATGAAGGATGTGATGCTGCTGATGTTGGCAAGGCAATAGCTCAAGAACTAGATGTTGGTTCACCAGAGAATTGCCACACCCCGATATGCGTAGAACCAGAACTTGGCATGAGCAGTTCTTCGGGGCCACCTCTTGCACGAAGACAGAGGAGGGTAAGAAGGCCCGCAACATCTCAAAGGTCTCCATTCATCGACTACAACAAGAACAAGACTTTCAGCACCAATGAGGTAGTGAACAAGCTTTACGCTGCCCTCTTGTATTGGGTCAGGCATCACAAAGGAGCAAATGATGGAGCTACCAGGTAAACTAACTCCCCACAGCCTACATACATATCTTTTTCAGTTGCATAGCACCAGCCACTTAGTTGCACAGAAAGCATAGTATGTTGCACAGAACAGGGCTTTTAGTTGCACACTGTTCTTTTTTTCATTTTCATGCACATTTTTTTTGCTGCTGTGACCCTTCGAGCTAACTTGTCTTTTTATTGCTTTCAAAAAAAAATCAGCCCTGAGATAATTAGGTATGGTGCTTTCTACATTTCTTTAAAGGAGTTAGTTGATTCGATGAAGCCAGTTCAATGGTTGTCAAAAATTGTTATTGAGACTGGAATCTTACACATCATGGATAACTTACCAGAAGGGTCAAAGAAGGTTGTTATGCCACTGAGGTTTTCTGTAAGTTTTTCCAAAACCTTCTTTTTACCCTCATCTTTGTTCTGTAGCACTTTTCGTTGACCATTTGAGGGAGGCCTTTCACCTACTAAGGAGTTTTGAGCCATGTTTTATAATCTCTGCAGATAAAATTACAGCAAGGGATCCACAATGTGGATGAGATGAACAAGAAGTTTGATTACAAGAACCGTCTCGACAAGAAAGACTTGGTGAGTGTTGTGCCCACATCATCAATCTTTTTTTAGTTGGCACCCACAGCATGTCCAGTTGCACATGACACATCTGTTAGTTGGCAGATACTTGTTGCAACCCGTTTTTTAACTTGACAAAGTCTTTTTACTTTTTTCTTAGCTACATCTTGTATTTGTGTCTGAAATCGTTCACGCTTGAAGGTCATGCTACCAGTGCTCGAGTGCGCAGATGTAACCGATAAGGACGGAGGGAGGCATTATTGGGTCTTCAGTGTCAACTTGAGGGACGGACGCTTCGAAGTTCTTGATTCAAGCAGGACGCTGGACAACATTGAGCTGATGAACAACGCCTCCACCATTGCGGGGGCAGTATGCCAGCTATGGAGGAAGCATTACCCAAAGTTCAGCATCGAGCACTTCCAGATTATTGACATTGGCGTACCAAAGCAGCTTGGCAAGTAAGACAATAAGCATTTCATTCCTTCTCAATCAAATACAATCATTTTGTAGTTTTTAAATTTTTCTACATGTGCAATCTTTAGTATTTTTAAGACACAGTACTAGTCTTCAATCTGTTTTATCATTTTTATGAGTTTCTAATGGATTATCTAGCTAGTTTGCAGAGTGGCGCGTAAGTAGTTGCAAAGTGGCACATAATGAGTTGCAGTAGAACACAAGCAGTTGCACAGTAGGACATAAGTAGTTGCACAGAGTGCATTACCTTTATTTGGTTTTAATTTTATGTGACAATTTTTTTTGCCCATTTTTTGCAGTAATGAGTGTGGGTTGTTCGCACTGCTTAACGCCACCGAGTGGAATGGTAGCCAACTGCCCAACTACGACCCCAAGGAAGTACTCAACATCAGGAAGAAGCTGACGTATGATTGGGTCACCAGCGTGCACAACACCGCCCCATGGAGGAAGTTGCTGAGATACGACAAGGAGTAGGTCAGTACTTTCTTTTTCTGCTCCATGGAGGAAGTTTCTGGTTTGTACAATTTTATTAAGTAGATTTTGTAGTTGCACACTGCTAGTAATTGCGTTTGCAACTCAATATCATCACTTTTGTTGATACATTAGGAGCACTGTATATACAATTGTTCAACAACTAAATATTTAACCAGTTGCCAACAAAGGCACAAATAGCAACTTTTTTTTACACAGTGCATGAACTAATTCAAGCAGCATAAATTAGATAAAGAGGAATCATAGATGCTGAATGTGTCCACTTGGTCCCAACATTGCTAAAAAAGACATCATTATTTTTCCTTTTTTGTTCCAAAGTTACAAATGAGGAAACAGAATCATAGGAGCCTCTGTGGACACACACCAGCAGTGTGCTCTGTAGATTGGCACTGGCTGCATTTGTTTTTCTTCTTTGGGTGTAGCTCCAGCGCCGATTTGTACCGTCGACTCTTTGCCCTACCCTTTGTAGTAGACCTTGGAGGATCCCTGGGCACAAAATCATCAGAAGCTTGTGCAAGGGATGCAGCCTCCAACGGGGCAGTAGGACCGTCACGATCACCTGTGTAATAATCATATAAAAAGTTTAGTATTTTTGTTATTGTGCAACCAGCACTGATGTTCTATGCAACCACACAGTACATTTTTGTGCAACTAACTGGTTGTTGTGTGCAAGTTAAGTTGAAAAAAACACCTGCAGTAGCACGGCCTGTCATGGTACTTGGATTGTAGTCGCCTATGGGCAGAACATGAAAAACAAGTTAGATTTTTAGCTTGATCCTCAAACTAACACAGCGCACGCAACTAGGCAGCATGTTTCTGTTCAACTGGGCACTATGATATGTGCAACTAAAGCCACTCACCCTAGTTTTTGTTTTGGAGTCGGTGAAGGTACTAACCTGGGTTATGAGCCCCCTGAGTCCTGCCTGTAGGTCCATTGGGAGTAGCACAAAGGGCACTGCTAGTTGGGCCTGGCGGGGGAGGAGGTCTTTGAGGGTTGGCATCACCTATAGGCAGAAACAGGACAAACAAGTCAGTTGTGTTTATCTTTTTTATGCTCGAACTAACACAACATGCGCAACTAGGTAGCCTGTTCGGTGCAACTGAGCACCATGATGTGTGCAATTGGAGTTACAGACCTAGTTTGATGGGGAGTTGGGGGAAGGTAATTACCTAGACGACGAGCCCCCTGAGTGCTGCCTGTAGGGCCATTGGGAGGAGCATGCGGGGGAGGAGGTGGCGGAGGATGCCGTGTATAGCCAGGAGGGGGAGGAGGTCCTTGAGGGTTGACATCACATATATGCATAACTGGAAAAAATAAGTTAGTTGTGTTATCTTTGATGCGTGAACTAACACAGCGTGCGCAACTAGGCAGTATGTTCTTGTCCAAGTGGCTACCATGGTGTGTGCAACTGGGCACAATGATGTGTGCAACTGAAGTTACACACCTAGTTAGATCAGGGGTTGGGGTAGGTAATTACCTGGATGATGAGCCCCCTGATTGCTGCCTGGAGGTGGAGGAGGTCCTCGAGGGTTGCCATCATCTGATGGCCCCGTTGCAGCAGTCGGTTTTTTCCTTTTCTTGGACTTGTTCAGGTGGCCGATCTCGGTACGTGCTGCACGCATATGCTTGTATACAATAGCTTGTGCTGGATCAGAACCACTCGCAAACTTTGCTAGTTTCCGAAAATCGTATATCATGTTCCTCTCCCTTATCTGCTTCTTTGATTGAGGAGGCATTTCATCCGGTTTCTCATAACCAGTCCCTGGCGCACTAGGTACAGCAGTAGGTGTCCACCGTCTTAGCAGGTACCTTCCCGGTATGACATCAACGCCAACATGGGTGAACACCTTGAGGATGTGGCAACAGAGGATGCCGCCCTTGTCCATTTTACAACACTCACACAAATAGGAACGCTCCTCCACCCTTGCCCGCACCAAGTAGTTTCGAGAACCATAGTTCACAACAAATTCCTGTTTCGGTCTGAGCTCAAACACATCAGCACCAACTTGGAATGCATTATAACGTCCAATCAGCTCAAACTCTTCTCTAAACTTGCGGTAAAGGTCTCTAGTATAGGTTTTGTAAGCTTGCTTCTCTATTGGGAAGTTGGACCACAACTCAATCTCAAGGTGTTGTGTCCTGTAATCATTGCAGCCTTCCTTGGCAAGGATGTGGTTCTGTATTTTTTCATATTGCTTGACGAAGTTCAACATTGAGTTGTGTGGGTTCACATATCTTTTGAGGACGGTGTTGAACCCCTCACTACGCTGTGTAGACTGGAGGAAGGGAAAGAACCTGTGTTTGAAGTAGCACGGCACCCAAGTTGACCTGTATTCGTACAACTTCTCAAAGTGCGTGTGTGCCATAGCCTCATACTTCATCATTAACCCAGCCCAATTCTGCTCAAACTCGTCTATAGTGAAGCTGAAGTCAACACACTTGTTGAAATCATCGGAGAGTCCTGGATTCCGGCACAACAACCAACCAACCTTTTCCTGAGCCTTTTTCATGATGTGCCATCGACAACAACGGTGCACGGTGGTTGGAAAGATGCTCTGTATTGACTGCCTCATCGCACCATCCTGATCGGTGATGAAGTTGTCAGGAGGTTTGCCATCCATAGCCTCTAGGAATGCTCCAAAGACCCAATCAAAGCTCGATGCCAACTCCTGCCTCACAAACGCGCAACCCAGCATGAAAGATTGGCCATGTCGGTTTATTCCTATGAAGGGCGCGAACGGCATATTGTACAAGTTGGTCATGTAGGTGGTGTCAAACGATATGCAATCATGGTACGCCTCCGCATAAGCTTTTCGAGCTAAGCCGTCCACCCAAAATATGTTGACAACTCTGTCCTCTTCATCATATTTCACCTTATAGAAGAAGTCTGGATCGGTTTTTTGTATATCCTTAAAGTGCGCAATTGTCTCAATCAGATCACCCTCCTTTGTGTCATCTCTACGGAAACTTGTACAAAGATTTGTTATTGCCTTTGGTCCAAACGGCACCATCATCTCAGATCCATAGAACTCTGCCATTACATGCATCATTCGTCTTGCATAATACAAAAACAAACAGTATATCCTTTTTTTAGTTGCACAAATGCGCACATCCAGCTGCACAGTAATAGGACACGTGTTGGCACAGAAGATAATCACAGGAAATGGACACCTAGCTGCACCTTTTTAAAAACACTTTGCAATTTTTGCATACAGGACATTGTGTATTTGCACAGTAAAGACAATCTAGTTGCACAAGAAGCACCCAAAGTGATATATAAAAAGCATGGGAAGTTGGACAGCAGTTGCATAGTTAAGTCATTTCAGTTGCACAGTAGTACCATAACAGTTGCACACTGGACTGCCTAGAGGGAAACTTAATTCTTCAAGGGATATAGAAAAACACCACACCTGTAGTCAAGTTGCAGTTATACAAGATGCGCAAAAACTCCTTTTCATCAGGTGAGATGCCTTGGTGGGATCTCAAGTATTTGGACAATGAAGGTTTGTTCACGAGCGGATGATTGTGGTCACGAACAAAGTGTGTCACCTCCCATCGCCCATCTATCAACTTCACCAACATTTTCGCCTTGCATTCAGTCTGCTTTATTGTCTCACGTTTGCGCTTCTTCTTCTTCTTACTAGTACCAGCATCCTCTTCAGCAAATATTGGAGGTTCTTCTTCCATCTCCTCATCACTGTTAACAGATGTTGGATCTGGAATAGGGTCCAGGTAAGGAGGAGCCTCAGCTCCTCCATCATCAACTTTGAGCTTCTTGAACTTGTTGCAGCAAAACTATTGTTTTATCAATTCATTGGTGCGGGGTGTCCGTCTAGAGGTGCTCATCTTGATAGAGAAACCCATCCGTAGTGCGTAACTGTTATAGTGATCCTTAGCAATTTGAAGGTTGTCAAACCTCATGCCAACATAGGGTTCCATAGGTTAAGAACCAGCCTCATCCTCTCCTTCTTCTACTTGCACAGCTCTGTCAAAAGCCCCAGCTTCCAGCTCAGTCCTGGTTGGATCAGGAACATTTGCCTCGGTTCCTGTGTCATCAAGAGTATGGCTCTCTGACTGCAAAGACACCACTACAGGGGCACCACGGGCTGATGACTGGCCTGCCACATTGTCATGGCCCGTAGGGTTACCATCACGACTTGCCTGCGTGTAGTAAACAGATCGACCATTTTCTGTGCAGTTTCCTTGTTGTATGCTGGGTTGCTGCTGATCCATATCATGAGGAAGCTCATTGAGATCTGGAGGCAACTCATTGAGATCAAGCATTTTTCCCTTGTTTTTGGATGCTGCCACACACTTCCTGCACATATAAAAAAGAAGAAATTGATGTCATCAGTTGATAACCACAGAAAAACTGTGTTTCAAAACAACCTAAAAGCAACATGACCATAGCATAATCTTTTATTATAACAGTTATGAATTTCTTTGTTTGCACAGAGTTGTTATGTTAGTTGCACAGTTTGTAGTAAATAACTGGCAAGAGCATGACTTCTTTTTGCTACAGAGTTTTTCTTACCTTTTCCCTTTTTGTTTTGTTGCAATGATCTGTAGGTTTCCGTTTCGCAAGGAGCTCTTTTCAGATTTTTCTGCACATAATTGGATGCTACATTTGAGAAGGAAAATCCAGGTGAAAGAAGAAAAAAGAAAGAAGAATTGGAGGACAGATTATAGTTATATGTTTTTCATCGCCGTTTATGTTTCTAGATCTGGTATATTTGAACATATTAATATGGTTTGCAATACGTGTGGGACCAGAATATATGCGTGGGACAAGATTTGTGTGTGAATATGTTAATATGGTTTGTGGCTTCATTAGCCATGGACAAAAGTTCCTATGTTTTTCCTGTTGCACTACAGATTTCTGGTTTTCGCTAGAATAGACGTCTCAATTTCCAGGATTTCCACTTGGCCAGCATACATATTCAGTTGGACATTCAATGCTTTTAGTTGGCTAGAATAGATGTCTCAGCTGGCCAGGTTGCATTTTTTCAGTTTTGCAGCCAACATGCATGTTCAGTTGGACAGTTAATGCATTCAGTTGGCTAGAATAGATGTCTTAGTTACCTAGAATAGATATCTTAGTTGGTCATCAGTTTTTGGCCAACATGCATGTTTAATTGGCCAGAAAACATGTTTTTTATTTTCACATATACTACATTTTTTCTAAAGTGTTCACTTAGAAATATGTATTGCCAGATATATGTTTAGTTGGCAGGATACATGTTTAGTTGGCCAGGATACATGTTCAGTTGGCTGGGATGCATGTTTAGTTGCACATTTATGAATTTTTCGTTGCACATGTTCAACAAAGCATTGGGCAGTCAATTTTTTGTTCATTTTGCAAATAATAACTAGAAGTTGGCTTTTAATCATGTTTTAATTGGCCAGATAACTCGTTTTTAGTTGGCTTGTTTTAACACATCCAGGTGGTAGTTTTTGGCATGTTTAACACATCCAGCATGTTTAACATCTGGTGTGATGTGCCAGATTCACCTCTTTTTTGAAGCAGATTCTCCATGGATCCATGGAGAAGGGGGAAGTGAAGAGGTGCAGAGGGGGCTTACCTGCTCAATCTTACTGCCTGGTATGGCTAGAATAGATGTCTCAGCTGGCCAGGTTGCATTTTTTCAGTTTTTGTGGCCAACATGCATGTTCAGTTGGACAGTTAATGCATTCAGTTGGCTAGAATAGATGTCTTAGTTGCCTAGAATAGATGTCTTAGTTGATCATCAATTTTTGGCCAACATGCATGTTTAGTTGGCCAGAAAACATGTTTTTTATTTTCACATATACTACATTTTTTCCAAAGTGTTCACTTAGAAACATGTATTGCCAGATATATGTTTAGTTGGCAGGATACATGTTTAGTTGGCCAGGATACATGTTCAGTTGGCTGGGATGCATGTTTAGTTGCATATTTATGAATTTTTCGTTGCACATGTTCAACAAAGCATTGGGCAGTCAATTTTTTGTTCATTTTGCAAATAATAACTAGAAGTTGGCTTTTAATCATGTTTTAATTGGCCAGATAACTCGTTTTTAGTTGGCTTGTTTTAACACATCCAGGTGGTAGTTTTTGGCATGTTTAACACATCCAGCATGTTTAACATCTGGTGTGATGTGCCGGATTCACCTCTTTTTTGAAGCAGATTCTCCATGGATCCATGAAGAAGGGGGAAGTGAAGAGGTGCAGAGGGGGCTTACCTGCTCGATCTTACTGCCTGGTATGGCTCTGACCACCCTGCCCTTTAGATCTTGAAGCAGCTCCTTCTACTTTGGGGCTCCCATGACGGCTGTGTAGGAGGAGGAAGAAAGGCTTGGGGCGATTGCGTTTGGATCTGTTTCTGGCGTGCAGAAGAAGAAGAAGGCAGCGTCGGTGGGGCTGAGGCGTGGGGGCGAGAGATGGCGTGGATTCTGCAACCTGGGCAGATCCTCCTTCTTTCGTGAGGAAGAAGAAGATAGCCAGGGCGCAGTTTGGCGAGGAGGGTGCACGTGATCCCGCGGGGCATGGTTTGGCGAGGAGGGTGCACGTGATCCCGCGGCCAGCTGGTGGGCGGGGCAGTTGCCTTTTTCGCTCCGACGGGCAGGGACCACGTGGGCGAGTGGGCGAGTGGGGGACTATTTCCTCTTTTCGCTCGAGGGGGGACCAGGTGGTTTCCTTTTTCGGGTGGCCGCTGGCTAGCGATCCCAGGGCGGCCGGCCGCCCACTAGACGCGTCCAAGTTTTTTTTGGGATACTTCCGTAATTTAAGTGAATTCGAAAGCTTCTTGCTTCGTTTCAAAATAGACCTTTTCTCAGGTTTTGCTGGGCCTGGGCCATCCGAAGAAAGCCCAGTGACGACAGCAAAGAAATCCCCCATGTCCAAGGGCATGGATGAAGATTTCGTGAAGGCCGAGCCTCCTCTTGTAATTTCCCTCCCCGCCGAGAAGACAAAATTTCCCACTCCACTCGAATTAAAACCCTAGCGGCTACAACCTTCGTTCCCCGCCGCCTCGTCCACCCGTCGCCGGCGCGCCGCCACTGCCACCGCCAGCGAGATTGCGACCTGAGAGGTCCCGCGTCCTCGTGCTGTTCCCGGCTCTACCTTCGCCGCGGCCACCATGATCTGTGCAAGTAAGCTCCTTTGCCTCAGTCCCCCATCCTTTATTTTCTTCAAAACCCTAGCTACCCGATCCGTCTTCCCGTGCGCTAATTCGTCTTCCGTTGCCTCTACGTTTGGGCCTGAAGTCTCCGGCGAGGTGCCGGATGAGCCGGTGGTATCAAAGAGGTCGGGGCTCCTCTTTGAGCGGCGGCTCATCGAGCGCTACATTGAGGTCGGTAATACGTCTTAGATCTCGCCTCTCATTTCTTTATCCTGTTTGCGCTAAGATTGCGTGGGTTGCTGTGGCACAGGACCATGGAAAGTGTCCAGTTACGAAGGAGGAACTCTCCATGGACGACATCGTGCTGGTGAAGACCAACAAGGTGAAGCCTATCTGGAATGCTAACAAATTTTCGAAATTGCATGCTTCCGTAGATTATCTATGCCATATCCTCCTATGTGGCGGCACTAAACTAAGTAGCTAAAAGTAACTTGCCACATCACCCCTCAAATATTCAGGGATTCAATCTTCGAAAAAACCCCACTGATGAGCTCTATTGTTCACAGGTCGTGAGGCCCAGGCCTCTGCAGGCTGCAAGCATTCCCGGACTCCTTGGAATCTTTCAAAACGTAAGTGGAATTCTGAATATCTAAATTGATTCTGAACTGTTGATAATCATTGTTGTCTTGTTAGTTTACTATATAATTATAGGTCAACCACCCACAGTGAATTCGTAGTGTGCTTCTAACGTCAACGATAAACAGTTCCGGGCTTCCTGCAAGCTGCAACACCGTGGAGCTGTTTAAGTGTATTCTTTAGCATCTACAGAGATGTAACTTACACTAAGCTAAAGCTAGAAAAATTGCCTGCTCGTCAGTTATATTAATGTGGAATCAGGAACTCTGCTATATATTTGTTGATCCACCCTTTTTTTTACGTTTTCATATTTGTCATAGAGTCAGAATGATCACATTTAATAACTGCTCAAATATATGAATGATAATCCTAAAATTCTGTTGATAACATTTCCCTTGATGGTGAAGTCTGCACTATGGTACTATTTCCCTGACCCCTGCAATACTCTCATGAACTAGTTTTTCTCTGATTTTGCAGGAGTGGGATGCTCTTATGCTTTCTAATTTTGCTTTGGAGCAGCAGCTTCACACAGCAAGACAAGAACTTAGTCATGCGTTATACCAGGTCTTTGTTTGACCAATGCAATTATTTCTTCTCAATTCATGCAAAAAATATTAAGGAAATTTCCGTGCAAGTCAAATAGTAAGGACACAGTTATTTTCTTCTTAGAAATCTCAGTCCGTGTTAATTCATAGCAAATGGACCATCAATTTTCGCGGGCCGAGGTCCCGCTGGAAGAATCTGAGCTTCCTATAGGTCCGTAGTTAGGCTGCTGTGGATTGTTTTTGAACATTTGAGTGACTCCACTTGTTTTACAAATTGGCTGGTGATAGATGCACTAGAATGTCGAATCATTCATTGTTGGAGCCCTGCTTTCTTCGCTCTTATTATATAATTGTGACTCAGAATTGTTCATACTGGAATTGTAGCTTAACTTGAGTTATGCACAAACTGAACATGATTTTAGAGGGTGTTGTTTCAAACCAATGCTTTAATTACTGATGTAGACTCAATTATTTTGAAAGTTTTGATGCGATGAGTTTGTTTTGTTGTGGGCCTTCAAATGAAGTTGTATTTTGCATTCTTAGAACTGAAAACAAGCTAACAATTATTTACAGCTGGTCTTTTATGCTTGTAGTTGTGCTTATGTGGGTAGGAATGGTTGACCGCTTATGTGGGTAGCACTAGCACATCTGAACATCTTATATGACGAAGTGGTAAAATGTTATTGGCCTTTATGTGCTGACCTGTCTAACTTCACAAGTAACCAGTTATTACCAAATTTTGCCCTCTCTTTAGTCAACTAGTCATCATGATTATCTGTACTGTAATATGACCTTGGGATCTGTCTGCTCTAACCATTATACCCTCTCTTCTCCTGTGCACCAGTAGTCAAATTGATCTGCACTCTTCAATTTATGTTTTCTTAACTTGAATAATAAATATTAAAACATTCATACTCCACCCATCCCTAAATAGATTTTATTCTAGGATTTGGATAATAATAAAGTGTACATATAGTACCATATTAGTCTCGCCCAGCCCCTCATTACTCCATTTATTGCTCTTGGGATAATGTATGTTCCTCAAGTTTGGATTAATAAATGAACTGCTAACAGCCGAAAGGAGAGGTATGCAAATAGAAAACGGTGCAAATAAATCTCGAATTGTAGAATGGCATGCACTATTTAGGGGGTTCAAGGCATGGTACTTGCAATTTGGGTTTGTTGCACCAATTATACTGTAGGGGGTTCCCTTACAGTCTTTCTGTCAAAAAAACGGAAATTGGAAGGTGGAATGGCATGTATTCAATATATTGTGTAAAGCCATTCTAGTTTTTTTTAGCATAAATCTTTTTTATGAAACTGTGTATTGAGGTTGTCTGGGTTGCCAAGTTTGATCTACACAAACTTTATTAAGCCAAGCTATTTTTTTCAATGCTTGATTTAATCTAGCAGACTTTTATGTTCATAGTTACTTGTTCAAACGCAGTTATAGTCTTGCATGAAAGAACATTACCCATCCGCTCTCCGTTTACTAGTTTGTTTTTGCCCCTTCCAGCATGATGCTGCCTGCCGTGTTATAGCCAGATTAAAGAAGGAAAGAGATGAGTCTAGAGCACTTTTGGCTCTAGCTGAGAGACAGATTCCAGCGTCGATGGCGGGAGTTGCACCTGCAGCTGTCGTCTCCAATGGAAAAAGAGGTTCCTACTGCTTGAAGCTGTGCAAGTATATCCTTAGGTATAGTTTTTTTTTATTTCTCATAGTTTAGCTTTGTTGGATACAGCAATGGAGGATGAAATTGGCCCTGATGGGAAGAAGATACGCCCTGGTATCAATCCTGTCATGATCGATGAACTAACAGAGTGTAATACCATGCTTTCTGCCCAGCGTAAGAAACGACAGGTATGCACCCCACTGCATAGCCACAACAGAAATAAGTTTACAACTGTATATTGTGTGTTGGTTGTTTTCAAAACAATTACCTCTCTAAAGAGTTAGGATGCGTTTGGTTGAAGGTGTCATATGAATGGGTTGGGACCGTCCAATTTATTTGGGATTGAACCATTCAATTCATGCGTTTGGCTGAATATAAGAGATGAGCTAATTATTTAGGACGGGACCACCAGTCATGCTCACATAGTCATGCATGCAAAGCGTGGCCATTTGATTCGACCGATTTGGTTGGGTGGAACGGTTCAGCATCTTCAAGGCATATTCTCTTTTTTTGACTTGAACCATTCATGTGCTTTATAACCAAACATGTCTATTTTTTGAACGATCCCAACCCATTCATGACCACCCTTGTAACCAAACGCACCCTTAGCTTGTTCGGTGTTAGCATTATGCAGGGAGTAGCTTTATCTTATCGGGAGTGTAACAGGTGAAAAGGGACCTAAAATTGAAAATCTGAATTTCATTCCTGCCCTTAAGATCAGTGGCGAAGCCATGGCCCCCCACCCAAGGTTGATAAAATTATAGACACCTTTCAAATTTTCATGGAAAACAGCAAAACGTTCTATTTGCCCCCCTCCCCCCTCCCCAAAAGAAAGTCCGGAACTCCATGGCATACTTTGGCATATAAGCTATCCTGAACCATGCGTCTGATTTTGTTCTAGGGTTTGGATATGATGAACAGGAAGAGCACATACGCGCTATTGAGATCTGACACCTCGTCTTGGCATATTTTTCATCATTTCTAATATGAAAACCTTTGTATTGCTCATTCCCTCTGGCAACAAAAGTTCGTTCTGAACAAAGTGATTTTTTGTGCCCCAGTTTGAATGTGAAGAATTGCGGAACATTTTGGATCTGAAACAACAAAGTTACTTGCTTCAGACACAACGAATCAGGAAACTGATTGGTAATCAAGATCATTATTTCATCATTTGGATCCAAACAAAGCTTCCAGATAAAACGTAAGAGAATATTAGATAAACGGAGGTGCTGCGGCAGCATTGGCTCTGGCGGGGAGCAAAGCCGCCTTAGGAGTGCACATGTAGGTGTCAGTCACAAGGAGGTGGCACTGGGTAGAGGAGCCCCCCGCCGAATCGAGGGGAGAAGTGTGCCAGGGCCACCTTGTGGTGGAGGACCTTCAGAGAAGGGTGTTGGCATCCACATCCGATAGTGATAGTGATTCTGATTCAGGAGGATTTGAGGAGGATGTTGGCATCAACATCAGACAGCCTGATTGTGAGAGGAAGATGGAGGAAGAGAAAAAGTGTGTGTGTGAGAGAGAGGGCAGGGAAGTGAGGAATAGAGGAGACTGGGGGTTCTTTTAAGAAAGGGTGAGGGTGTGTGTGGAAGATCTGCCTGTTGAAATGCAATTGATTGGTGTGGCTTGGTATTTTCTGAAAGATGTGGGTTTGCACATAATATGTTCCCTTATCATGTATGAATGCACTTTTGTACAACTAGTTACGACTTTGTTGGTGAAATTAGTCAGCAATCCTATCTGTCTTCTCTCAGGTACCACCAAGTTTGGCATCAATTGATGAACTGGAGAGATATACTCAGATCTCTAGCCATCCACTCCACAAGACAAACAAGCCGGGCATTTTGTCTATGGATATCCATCCGTCAAAGGTTAGATTATGATTTGGCTATGTGTTCATCATGTTGGGTTAAACTGTATATAAGGTTACACATTAATTGAAGTACACACCATCATATTAATACATTTACTTGTGTCGGGCAATATGATGCATTATGTTTAGCAGGACTTCACAAATGTCGATTTGTTCGTTTACTTTGATGTCAAAGTGATTGAGTTATTCATTTACTGGATTCTTAATCTGGATTAACAGGACATAGTTGCAACTGGGGGTATTGATACGAATGCAGTGCTATTTGATAGGACATCTGGTCAAATCCTTTGTACACTTGCTGGTCACTCCAAGAAGGTCTTTCCCCCAAGTGCTTCTGATGCATCCTTAATTTACTATTTTTAATATATTTGTCGGAGTTAAATTGTAACATGTGAACTTTCTGATGACAGATAACCACTTTGAAATTTGTTCCACGGGATGAGCTTGTGGTAACTGGATCAGCAGATAAGGTATGCCACTTTCTGATGCGTCTAATTACTCACAAATATGGTTAAAACAATCAGATGCTGATTTTATTGGTTTCTCGACTCTGTCATGTTGTAATTATGGGGCTTGTGGCAGTTAAATGCTTGGACACATTTAATTTGTGTATGAGATAGACAATGGCCTCCCTTCTTAATATCTATCCTGACCAGCATGGATTGCTTATTTGCACCTTGTGTTTGCTCATGTTCAGAGGCAACAAAGTGGGTAAAAATTTGCCAATACCACCAGGTTTCCAGTTCTAGTGCCAGCAAATTCATAGTTGTACATGTTCATGTTCTGATATATACTGCAAGAATGATCCAACTCAATCTAAGACTGAGCTGGGCATGACACTTTGGCTTCGATTTAGGCCAACTGAACCGACTTCATACCTGACTGCTGGGCATGGCTCTTAATCCAAAACAGCTAAGCAGTTTTTAGTCAGCTATTTGGACCCAACCAACACCCATCTAAACAGACTTGTTCAAATATGTAAAAACCCTATTACCGCGCTAACTCGACCACCTCTACCTGGTGAGATCAATTGCATCAGTGCCATACTTGTAATCATAATTTGAGAGGTCATCTATCTAGAAATAATTTATATAATGCTTTACCTCATGCCAGAAACCTTCTGTTAGCATATAGGTGTAGCTGCCTGCTTATGCTGGTCAGTAAACTACTAAGTCGTGTAATATTTCATACATGCTCGCTTGTAGATAGCAAGTTGAAAAGTTGCTATGGTCTTTATGAACTTGCTGATGTTACTCCTGCAGCCCTGCTATATAAATGGACTGCTTTGCATTTGTTGCACTCATAAGAAACACAGGACCTGATCAGTCTTTTGAGCCCTCTAGCACGAGCCTGAGGGTTTGAATTATATGAGCATATCAATTTTGGTAGTTTAAGTTATTGCTGACCCTTTTGCAAACGCTGCAGACTGTTCGGATTTGGCAAGGGGGTGAGGAGGGAAACTACAGTTGCATCCATACTTTGAAAGATCATACCGCCGAGGTTAGTGTTTACTCTTCAGGTGGATCTTGCTTTTGCTAAGCAGATCACACATGCTTGAGTTTATAATTTCCTGTCTTAAGAATTATGGTTTAAGGATTGCTGATACACTTATTACATTCATATTCATCATTCCATTTTTTGATATTCTATTCTTGGTGTCATATTAGATTCAATAACATTTAGAAAAATTGATAATAGTAGCAAAGGTCTATTTATCTGTTTTGATTTATTTCTCATGTTGAGGAACAATGGACAATAAAACAACAACAACAACAAAGCCTGTAGTCCAAAACAAGTTGGGGTAGGCTAGAGGTGAAACCCATAAGATCTCGCAACCAACTCATGGCTCTGGCACATGGATAGCAAGCTTCCACGCACCCCTGTCCATAGCTAGCTCTTTGGTGATACTCCAATCCTTCAGGTCTCTCTTAACAGACTCCTCCCATGTCAAATTCGGTCTACCCGCCCTCTCTTGACATTCTCCGCACGCTTTAGCCGTCCGCTATGCACTGGAGCTTCTGGAGGCCTGCGCTGAATATGCCCAAACCATCTCAGACGATGTTGGACAAGCTTCTCTTCAATTGGTGCTACCCCAACTCTATCTCGTATATCATCATTCCGGACTCGATCCTTCCTCGTGTGGCCACACATCCATCTCAACAAAAATGGACAATAAAAAAAGAGACAAAAGTTCTACAGTGACATGTTTTGTGATGGCAGTAGCCACACTATGCTTGAAACAAAAATTCACACATGAGATACCTTTCTTCAAGTTTTCTTGCTCATTGCACCATTAACTGTTGACCTGTTAGTCTCAGTCAATTCATTTTCTGCTGTTACATGTAAAATGCCCCTTTTTTGCGGGCCATTGTTAATAATATTTTCTTTTGTTCTTATCATTTTGGACTCATATTTTAAAATGTCCCTGATGGTGAACAAAATATGTTTTTTAACTCATCCTTCCTTTATTTATTTTTTAAAAAAATCTCAGGTCGAAGCTGTTACTGTGCATGCGACTCAGAAGTACTTTGTGACCGCGGCCAAGGATAATACTTGGTGCTTCTATGATATTTCAACTGGGTCTTGCCTCTCACAGGTCCACTCACATAGACTACAATCATCATTGTGTGCACTTGCATACATGTGTATTCAATGCTAAGATATTTTTTATTAGGTTGGCGAGGCTTCAGGACAAGAGGGATATACATCTGCGTCTTTCCACCCAGATGGTCTTATCCTTGGAACAGGAACTACTGAAGCTGTTGTCAAAATTTGGGACGTGAAAACTCAGGTTGGTACTGCAATTGTTTTCAGGAATTATTTCAGATGGTCATGCATATGTCGGTGCTTGAAATATGCCACCCCCGTCCCAAAATATAAAATGTTTTTGCAGTTCAAATTTGAACTGCAAAAACATCTTATATTTTGGGACGGAGGTAGTATTTCCTAATGAACATTTTTTTTGTCTGTAGTCCAATGTTGCAAAGTTTGAGGGGCATGCTGGACCTGTCACTGCTATGTCCTTCTCTGAAAATGGTTACTTCCTGGCGGTATGTTTGTTACCATAAAACAATGTGCACAGTGTTGATGTCTTTGTTATTCTGATATTTTCACCACCCCCTTGCAGACTGCTGCTCTTGATGGTGTCAAGCTTTGGGATCTAAGGAAATTGAGAAATTTTAGGACTTTCTCGCCATATGATTCGGATACGCCGACAAATTCTGGTAAGGAACTTTGTACGTCACTTCTGTGTTCTATACAGTAGTAAACTTTAGAGCATATAAGTTGTGAATACTGCTATATGCATGGCTACAGCTAGTATGTCACTCCTTAGATTCATCACAATTCCATGTTGACATGTTATTTACATAGTTATCTTGGATTGTGATAGGCATGTCTTTAGTTTATGGCTATCGGTTCAATTCTATTTCTATTTTAGCTTGATGCCTTCTCTTCTGTTCTGCAGTGGAATTTGATTTTAGCGGTACCTATCTTGCTGTTGCTGGTTCAGATATAAGGTATGCCCTTGATTTCCTGGCATTTTGGCATTGCTTATGGAGGGGAATCTATTGATAGGTCTAGACATGATATATCGACTATCTTGCAAAAAAAAACATCCATCCGTTTTTCAGTTGTGTGTTATACAATGTAAAACTAAATACTTGCAATTTCCAATCTGTCTTTTGCAGGGTTTACCAAGTAGCCAATGTCAAGACGGAATGGAATCTTATCAAGACCTTGCCAGATTTGTCAGGAACAGGTTTGCACTCCTTCCTGGCCCTGATTAAGTTGGACATGCATGTAGAGTTGAGGTGAAGTAACTTCATTCTTGTGAATTGTGTCTTCACAGGGAAAGTGACCTCTGCAAAGTTTGGCACTGATGCCAAATATATCGCCGTCGGCTCTATGGACCGTAACCTGAGGATATTTGGGCTTCCTGGAGATGATCAAATGGATGATGATGCAAAACCATCGGCAGAGTGAGGAAATGCAGTGTACCTGGTTTTACTTGTTTGATGCTCCCTGCGCTCTCTTTTGGCAGTGGATGGATGGGTTGCGTATGAGGAAAAGCAGGGTCCTCAGGGAGCAATGGCGTGGGCGTCCGCCGATGTAAACAGACAGCGACATTATTGTATTGTAGGCTTCACTATTTTCTAATGAGGATATAATTTGTTTTGAAGAGGAATACAATCTCAAAGGGCTCGAGCCACGGGCATGCAAGTTTCTTTTACCCGAGGCCGTTATTTGATGAATTAATGAGATTTTAAAGAACATGCATTATGCACTTTCTACTAAAAGATGTTTCTTGTGCCTGAATTTCACAGAACATGACTGACCGATTGGCCTGCGTCTCATACTTTCTCCGTTTCAAAATATAGTGCGCTCACGCTTCCTAAGGTTCAACTTTGATCATAAATTTCACCAAAGAGATCAACTGCGGCGGGAGCAAAAAATATATAATTGTAAAGTTTGTTTGAATACAAATTTATTGGTACAAATTTGGCTCCCGCCTCTATTGGTTTCATTGGTTAAATTTACGGAAATGTTAACGCCCACACGTGTGGCTTGACCATCTCGACCACACGCATCCATCATCGTCCAGTATTATATGCACGAATCTTGACACAATCTGACTGATTTTCTGTGCAACGTAGGATAAGACGTGTGTGTGGTGTGTGACATAGTTCGCCAACACATCCGTTTTACCATACGGAGGGGCCGGTGTGTGGGCGTTTAGCAGTTCACCCACACACCAGTTTTCAGTCACGCACAAAGGCTGGTGTGTGGGCATTTGCCATCTCGCCCACACGTCCGTCTCCTCTCCCACACCTAAGCTGCTAGTTGCCATGTGTTTTTGTAGCGCACATGGCAACTGCCTCTAGTGTGCTTTATAAGTAGGTGGCAACTCTTTGTTTTATCCGAGTTGCCATGTGTTTTTGCAGGGTACACGGCAACTGCCTAGTGTGCACGTAAGCAGATGACAACTGTCTTTTACCGAGTTGCGATGTGTTTTTGCATGGTACATGGCAACTGCCCCAACGTGCACGTACATGGCAACTGCCCTAACGTGCACGTAAGCAGATGGCAACTCTTCCTTTTTACATGGCAACTGCCCTAGCATGCTTGTGAGCACATGACAACTCTCTCAACTGCCTAGTGTTAGTATGTGGCAACTCCTAAAGTTATGAAATCATGGCAACTACATTAGATCAGACCATACATGACAACTGCAGTTGAGCAACCATGGCAACTGCAGTTGTCCGACATGGCAACCGTAGTTCAGCGACATGGTAACTGCAGATAAACGAACATGGACGAGGGTCTGGACCATGACAACTGCGGGCGCGCGGTGGGCGTCAAGCGTCGCGTGCGGGACCAGAAGGGTACGAGGCCTGACATACGGGCGTGTGGGCGTTATCAACTTCGCCCACACGCACGCGTGTGAGAGGGTTCAGGAGGGAAAAAAAGATGTGTGTGGGCATTAGTTATTTTGCCCACACGTAGATGTGTGGGCTGGTTGCTGTCCATGCCACACGAGGCGTGTGGCACAACTACCCGATACACCACACGCGTGTCAGTTATCGGGACCCTAAATTTATGGTCAAAGTTGAAGCGCGGAAATCGAGAATGCACTATATTTTGGGACGAAGAGAGTAGTAATCTTTTACAAGAGCTTAAAGTATGCGCTAACCTTTTATTTTATGTGGCACCATTAACTTTGACTAATCAAACCTGACACTTGGATATGAATTTGTATGGTTAGATTAGGGGTGGGCACTTTTGAACCGAAAACCGAAAAACCAAACTGAACCGAACCATATTAACCGATTTATCTATTAGTTTGGTGATTCGATTTTTTGTTCGGTGGGAAATTTTAAGGTTGTTCGGTGTTTGGTTTTTATTCGGTTTCCAGTGCCCAAAAATCGAATACACCGAAAAAACCGATATGTACGATACCCCATGCAATACCTTGTTTTCGAAAGTTCAGCGGGGGCGCGTCCTCTGACAAATACTTGTTGGTTGTGGCAGACGTCAGGCCAGCCCCTAGATGAGTTTCTAATCTCACAATCTAACTAGTACTCCTATGTAACGCCATACTAGCATGGCTAACTGAATTTGTTTAGATTATTTTACTATTGTTTGCATGCAACATAGTCAATGGCCGTATCCTTCTAGCAAGTACTTATTAAGATTTCTTTTTTTTTGTTTGAAAACTTATTAAGATTTCTATCCATGCAATATCGCGTAGGAGTATGTATGCATGCCCGGCGCTTGCTTATGGAATACTAGCAATTAGTGTATCAATTAATGCATGAGTTGCTTAGTTTACACGCATCACACATATTCTTCCGTACATAATACATGTAACGCCCCATGTGATTTTACACTTAGTTATGTTCACTAGTTTGCTTGACCGAATAAAGCACTGACTGATGTTAAGGTTGCTAGCTCTTGTGATATATACTGATGAGTGCATGTATTTTGGTTTTTCGATTAACCGAATAAACCGAACCGATATATTATGGTTAATATGGTTCGGTTTCTAAATATTGTGTGATTAATTCGGTTTCCATTTCTTCAAAACCGAAATTATAAAACACCGAATAAACCGAACCGTATTAACCATATAAACCGAATGCCCAGCCCTAGGTTAGATATGCTTGCACAGCAATTCATATTGAGATAGGCTTGAACCTTTTTTCCTAAAGAGGAGCTAAACACTTATATTAGGCAAATCACAACCAAACCTTGTTAAATCGCAACAACGGTAGACCGCAGCGTAGACTGAATTGACAATTGTGCCAAGCATGTCGGCAGGGGCATCAGACATGTACCCATCGCTAGAACATTGTTGCTGGTGATCTTACGTGCAACGACTCCAAATGAATGGTTGTCGAAGAAGATAATGCTGTCGTCCTCTATGGCCATGAAGACACATCGACGAGCAAGTCCCAAGACAGCGTCCATGAAGGCCGACATGGATACAGACTCCCAAGCTTCAGTGCTGGAGCAAAGCGTTACCGAGATGGGACTGAAGCTGGAGGAATTTTATTGGATACAACATCATCGTCACTGTCGGAACAACGTCGCCACGACATCGAATCGAACCTAAGAAAACCTGCACACATAATGAAAGACGAAAACCTCCTCCCTTAGCCTCACAAGCTAGAGCGGGAATTAGATGGCGAGGTTGGCGGCTAGTGTTAATCGTGGAGAGGGCCTTCAAAATTCCACATTAGCCATCCATTGGTTGGTGGCTTGTGTCGGGAGCCTCTCCGGGCCGTCCGATTTGCCTGGACGGTTTGGACCCGAGCGATTTGGCTGGACTGTCCATGACGGGTGGACCGCTTCGCGCGCATCCACCCGCCATTGGGTGGCGCCCATCGCCTGGCTTCACGTGCTTGCTCGGACGATGACGGACGGATCTCGGTTGACTTGCCATTGGGTGGAGCCTCTCAGGGGTGATGTGAACCGCCTGATCTGCCCAGACGACTCATACTCGGGCAAGCCGGTTGGAAGGTGCATGACGGGTGGACCGCCCAGCGCGCTCGGGGCAACTGCCATTAGGCGGTTTTAGGCGTCCCGCGTTGCCCTGTGCGCAACGAGCTAGCCGGAGAAGTCGTTCGGTCCTGATAGGCGATGTGTGCGTCGTGCGTCGTGCATCATGCACGACAGGCCAGTTGGACACGCATGTCAGTGTCTTTGCTTCTTGTCGTGCTTCTCTTGCGCGATGGGCAAACTGGGAGGGCTGTCAACGCCCTTGGCCCCTTAGGTCTGCTAGAAACTCGAGGCGGTGCATGCATATCACGAGTCCAAGAATATTTGTTTCACATGTGATGACCCATGGGCACGAGGTCATGAATGTCTTGATAAATTCCCGACTCACGCTATGGAGGAACTATTGGAAATGATGCATCTCAAAGAAGCTCTTGATCCGCAACATCTCAATGGTTCCAGCTGAGATGAAGGTCATGTGATGTAGGGTGGAACCCTATGATGCCGATCTTTCACGAATTGGAAGGGGATTTCTCAAGAACACGAAGAACACGGTGAAGAACGAGGAGAAATCACAAGAGGAACACTCAAGAACAAGTGCAAGCACACATCCACCACATCCACTAGACAATTAAACACACTAGATCCACAAGGTACATGAACAACAAAGGGGAAGATACATGGTAAACTTCATCCCAAATCCAAAGGAGATGGGGGCTTGATGGTCTGGATAGATCCTTCCCACAAAGGGGGTCTTGAATCCCTTGGGATCTTCTCACATGCTCACATGGAGGCCTTGAACTCGATGGGAGTGGTCTCTCTCTCTCTCTCTCTCTCAAGAGTAGTGGTAGGAGCAAAGCTCAACTAAGATGAGCTATCACATTTGCTAACCCTAGAAATGAGGAGGGGAGGTCTATTTATAGTCCAAGCCACGAAGGGGTAAGTGGGAGAGAGATACAAGGCCAAAGGCCCGGCTGCACACATGCAGCATCGGACGTTCGGTGGTTACCGGATGTCCGGTCACTCGCGGGGGTCCGGACGTCCGGAGGGCGTCAGACTTCCGACAATTGGTTTCTGGACAGGTGGCACCGGATGTCCGGTCGGTGTCGGTCGTCCAGTCGCTGGGACTCATCGGACGTCCGGTGGTCGTCGGTCGTCCGACCGTTGTAGGACTCGTCGGCTGTAGCTCTTCTGGCCGTCTGGGTTGCGCCAGGTACCGGATGTTCGATGTCGTCCGGATGTCCAGTGGCTATAGCTTGCAGCGGCTCCATTTCTTCCATCTTCGCTTCCATGCTTCCCTTGCCGATGGTGTAAGCGTTCCTTGACGCTTGCACTCCTCCTCGTTGTCCGTAAAGCTCCGGCAATACCTATGCATGCACACGAGGGGAATGTCAAGTAGTATACCATACTCGAAGGGGTCAAGTGAACACGTGTAAAGGAGATGATTCACCTTTATGTATGTGAAGTAGAGGTCGCACGTGTCACTT